CCCAAGTGTCTAGGACTGATGTATCTACAGATCCCAGTAGGGTGGCCTTTTGCAGCTGGCAGATGGTAATTTTGTCAGCGCCAATTGTGTTTAAGTGCAGGCCAAGGTCTTTAGGCACTGCACCCAGTGTGCCGATCAGCACTCTGACCACCTTGACTGGCTTTTGCCAGAGTTTTTGCAGTTCGATCTTTAAATCCTCATATCGTGCCAGTTTTCCAGTTGTTTCTCTTCAATCCTGCTGTCACATGGGATTGCAACATCGACGATCTATGCTTTGTTTTCTAACACGATCGTGAGGTCAGGAGTATTGTGCTCCAAAACTCTGTCTGTCTGAATTCAGAAGTCCCAGAATATTATTATTATTATTATTATTATTATTATTATTATTATTATTATTATTAAGTCACCTACCTACCGCCAGGACCTCACAACCTCTGAGGATGCTTGCCATAGATGCAGGCGAAACGTCAGGAGAGAATGCCTCTAGAACATGGCCATATAGCACAAAAAAACCTACAACAACCCAGTGATTCCAGCCATGAACGTATTCGACAATACTTTGCCTTTTATGTTTGGAATCTGCCCTGAGTCCCTTTGGGGAGATAGGGTGGAATATAAATACATTATTATTGTTGTTGTTGTTATTATTATTATTAAAGCCAGATTAGGGTTAGTAGTGTCTAGTAGAGATTTAAAGATGGGCTCAAACAAAGCTAACCTTAAAATCTGTGGCATAGACACCAAGAACTGGGAACCCTTGAGCACTCTAGTTGGAGGTCAGCTGTGACCAGCAGTGCTGTAGAATTTGAAGAGGCACGAATGGAGGACGACCCTGATTAGGACTGCCTTCCACCTGGAAATCTATCCAGGGCTCCACAGTCACCTACCTATCGCCGAACTTGGAGGACAATCTTACTCAGACAGAGAAGGATGCCTAAGTAAGTAAGCAAGTCAGGTTTGGAGAGACTAAAGACAACATTGCCTAGCTAAGGAAAGAAGCCATCCATCCTCCAGGAAATAAAGCCCGACTGCTCACTGGAGGGAAGGATACTAGAGACAAAGTTGAAGAAAGGAAGAGACCATGAAAATGAACAAAATCTGGCTACCAGTATTAAAAAACTCAAAAATTATAACAGCTAAACAACAGAGAGGAAAAACCAGGCACAGATTAACACCTCCCAGCAACAGATTTTCCCAGGCTCAGGCAGGCCTTCAAATGCTAATGAAGGTGATCAGCTAAACATTCACACCTAACTGCAGCAGAAGAGCTCCTTGCCCCACCCCAGCCATTCCACAGATATATAAACCCATTTTTCCTACTTCCAACAGACCTTCTCAACCTCTGAGGATGCTTGCCATAGATGCAGGCGAAACGTCAGGAGAAATGCCTCTAAAACATGGCTCTATAGCCCGAAAAAACCCACAAGAACCTAACAATAATAATACTTTGGCCACATCATGAGAAGAAAGGAAAGCCTAGAGAAGACAATTATGCTGGGGAAAGTGGAAGGCAAAAGGAAGAGTGGCCGACCAAGGGCAAGATGGATGGATGGCATCCTTGAAGTGACTGGACTGACCTTGAAGGAGCTGGGGGTGGTGACGGCCGACAGGGAGCTCTGGCGTGGGCTGGTCCATGAGGTCACGAAGAGTCGGAGATGACTGAACGAATGAACAACAACAAGAGAAGCTCGCCCTCCAAAAGGTGATCGTTTTGAAACACAGAGAACTTCTTCAAACTATGACCCTGATTCTATTAGTTTAATCTAATATTTGGGGCAGTTTCCCTGCAATTTCAGAAACCCACCTGCAAACGTTGACTGGGTTGCCTTTCGAGGAAAACCCCTTCCATATTACCACAGTATATATCTCTTTTAATTCCCGATTCGCAGTAACAAGACAGAAGGCATTGAAACCGAGGTGGGCATCAAATTCACCAGATTACATCCGCCTATATCTCACCCCTCATTTGGACGCACAACTAATACTTTTACTTTGAAATATTTTGCTTGAATGAAGGTCGAGAGAAATCTATATAAATAAAAATGTAATGTTCGTTTGTGGGATTAACATAACTCAAAACCCACTGGACGAATTGACACCAAATTTGGACACAATACACCTGTCAGGCCAACGAGTGGTCACCACTCATGAAAACACTGAAAAACGCAGCAAAAAAGACTTAAAAAGCTAAAAAACAAAAACAAAAAATTCATTACAACGCATGCGCACACCCCCCCCCCCTCACACACACACACACAAATACACAAATATATATACACACAAAACACATATACACAGACTGGGCCACAGCAACGCTTGGCAGGGGGAAAATAAATATATTTTTCTAGTGGTAAAATAAATATATACACAAATAAAAGATGCATCATTTGCAACAGTCACACTTGCCCCCAACAATGGAAGGCTTTCATGGCTGGAATCACTGGGTTGCTGTGAATTTTCCAGGCTGTATATCCATGTTCCAGAAGCATTCTCTCCCGACGTTTCTCCCACATCTATGGCAGGCATCCTCAGAGGTTGGTGGAATAATGTCCAGGGTGGGAGAAAGAACTCTGTGGGTTGTTGTAGGTTTTTCGGGCTGTATGGCCATGTTCCAGAAGCATTCTCTCCTGACGTTTCTCCTACATCTATGGCAGGCATCCTCAGAGGTTGAAGGGTCTGTTGGAAACTAGACAAATGGGGTTTATAGATCTGTGGAATAATGTCCAGTGTGGGAGAAAGAACTCTTGCCTGTAGGTCGTTGTAGGTTTTTCGGGCTGTATGGCCATGTTCTGGAAGCATTCTCTTCTGACATTTCGCCTGCATCTATGGCAGGCATCCTCAGAGGTTGTGAGGTCCAGAGGATGCCTGCCATAGATGCAGGCGAAAGGTCAGGAGAGAATGCTTCTAGAACATAGCCGTACAGCTCGAAAAAAACTACAACAACCCAGTGATTCCGGCCATGAAAGCCATCGACAATACTTTAACCGCTTGTCTGCTTGAGGCAAGTGTGAATGTTGCAATGGGCCACCTTGATTAGCATTGAATGGGAGAGCTCTTTCTCCCACCCTGGACATTATTCCACAGATAGATCAAGTTTCCAACAGACCTCACAACCTCTGAGGATGCCTGCCATAGATGTGGGCGAAATGTCGGGAGAGTATGCTTCTGGAACATGGGTATTCGATCCAAGCTCCAGTGTCGAGGGTCCCATTGAGGTCCAAAGAGCGATCTGTCTGCCATGGAAGTGTCCCTAAACTCCCTCTCAAGCGACCTCTGTGCATAGGTCTCATTCGCAGCCACAAAATAGAGAGGACAGGTGTGTCGACAACAGTTTGACCCCTCGGACACTGCCATGGCTCAATGTTATTTAATCCTGGGAGTTGGAGTTTCAGAAGGTCTTTCTCCTGGTGTTGTGGAAGGCTTTCATGGCCGGAACCACTGGGTTCATGTGAGTTTTCCCGGGCTGTATGGCGATGATACAGAAGCATTCTCTCCTGACGTTTCGCCCAGCCAGGCTTTGAAGCTGCAAGGCTATTCAATGCTAATCAACGTGGCCAATTGCAACATTCAAGCAGACAAGAGTTCTTTCTCCCACCCTGGCCATCCCGCAGATACATGTAGTTTCCAACAGACCGCACAACCTCTGAGGTTGCCTGCCATAGATGTGGGCGAAATGTCAGGAGAGAATGCTTCTGGAACATGGCCATACAGTCTGGAAAACTCACAGGAATCCAGTCTTTCTCCTTCTCGGCCAAAGAGTTCCGGTACCTTCCTTACCACATGAAAGCGCCCAGCATTCTATAGCATCAAGCCACAGCAGAGGGGTTTTTTGTGTCAGGAGCAACTTGAGAAACTGCAAGTATCTTTTGGTGTGAGAGAATTGACCGTCTGCAAAGACGTTGTCCGGATGTTTTGATTTTTTTTTCTGTTTCACCATCCTTGTGGGAAGCTTCTCTCGTGTCCCCGCAAGGGGAGCTGGAGCTGACAGAGGGAGCTCACCCGCACTCTCCCCGGATTCGAACCTCCGACCTGCCGATACAAGAGTTTAACCCAGGCATCCTCAAACTGCGGCCCTCCAGCTGTTTGGGCCTCCAACTCCCAGAAGTTTTAACGAGCTTGTTCAATTGTCAGGAATTATTTGTTTGTTGTTAAATGCAATACAACTGTTTTGTTTCGCCCCTGACACTATAAATAAATATAAAAGAAATTGTCAGGAATTCTGGGAGTTGAAGGCCCAAAGAGCTGGAGGGCCGCATCCGCCCACGTCTCACTCCCATTTGGATGCACAACTAATACTATTACCTCGAAATATTTTGCCTGAATGAAAGTCGAGAGAAATGGTTTTATGATGCATCATTTGCAACATTCACACTTGCTTCCAACAATGAGGCTTTCATGGCCGGAATCATTGGGTTGCTGTGACTTTTCCAGGCTGTATATCCATGTTCCAGAAGCATTCTCTCCCGACGTTTCTCCCAAATCTATGACAGGCATCCTCAGAGGTTGAGGTCTTTGTCGGAAACTAGGCAAGTGAGGTTGATCTATCTGTGGAATAATGTCCAGGGTGGGAGAAAGAACTCTCCCATTCAATGGTAATCAAGGTGGCCCATTGCAACATTCACCCTTGCCTCAAGCAGACAAGAGTTCTTTCTCCCACCTTGGACATTATTTCACAGATATATAACGGCGTTTCATGCAGCCATGCCGGCCAAATGAACTTGGAGGTGTCTACGGACAACGCCGGCTCTTCGGCTGAGAAATGGAGATGAGCACAACACCCCAGAGTCGGACACGACTGGACTTAAGGTCAGGGGAAAACCCCACTTCCCTGGTAAATACTACAAATCAGTGTTTCCCAAACTGTGCTCCTCCAGGTGTTTTGGGTTTAGCTCCCAGAAATCCCTGCTGCTAGGAATTGTGGGAGCGAAAGTCCAAAACATCTGGAGGAGCAGAGTTGGAGAAGCATATCATGCAGTCCAAACTTTGCCGCCGCGACTCACCGTGGAAGTCGGGGAAGCGCGGGGCCAGGATCCCGGCTCGGACCCACTGCTCCAGCGGGAAGGAGGCGCCCAGCTTGAAGGGCTCGGCCACGGGCGGCGGAGGGAGGTGCGGGAAAGCAGCGGCGAAGGCGAGGGCCGGGTGGGCCTGCCCCGTCAAGGCCGGCAGCGGGAAGAGCGCGGGCGCGTAGAGGCCCGGCGGGGAGAGGCTCAGCAAGCCCGGCTTGGGCACGAAGGCGGCAGCGGCGGGAAGAGGAGGAGGAGGGGGGCTCTGCGGGCAGGCGCGGGGCTCTTCTTCGGCGAGCAGGGCGTCGATGCGGAAGTTCTGGGACTTCTCCATGGCCTTCGGCATCTCAGCCCCCTTTCTCTCTCCTCCACTCACTCCCTTCTCCTCCCTTTGACGCCCGAAGAAGCCAGCACGGCTCTCCTCAGTCTCCTCCTTCCCCGGCTTGGTTTCTCCTTCGCCATCCCCCGCCCCGTCGGGAGTGACGCGCTCTCGCTGCTCAGGGCTGGAGAGAGGCTGAGTTCACACTGGGCACGGGCCAACTTGGGCCCTCCAGGCGTTTTGGATGCCAACTCCCACCATTCCTAACAGCCTCAGGTCCTTTCCTTTTCCCCCTCAGCCGCTTAAGCGGCTGAAGGGGAAAAGGAAGGGACCTGAGGCTGTTAGGAATGGCGGGAGTTGACGTCCAAAACACTTAGAGGGCCCAAGTTGGCCCCTGTCTACTATAAATTCAGCTCTAGGTTAAACTAATAGAATCAGGGCCATAGTTTGAAGAAGTTCTGTGTGTTTCAAAACGATCACCTTTTGGAGGGCAAGCTTCCTTCCTCAGCTAGGCAATATTGTCTCTAGTCTCTCCAAACTAGACTTACTTACTTAGGCACCCCTCCTTGTCTGAGTAAGATTGTCCTCCAAGTTCAGTGTGCTGGCGGTTGTAGGTGACTGTGGAGCCTTGCATAGGTTTCCAGGTGGAAGGCGGTCTTGGTCAGGGTCACCCTCCATTTGCGCTTCTTCGAATTCTACAGCACTGCTGGTCACAGCTGACCTCCAGCTAGAGTGCTCGAAGAGCCAGGGCTTCCTAATTCTTGGTGTCCATGTCACAGTGTTTTAAGGTTGGGTTTGAGCCCATCTTTAAATCTCTACTAGACACTACTAACCCAAATCTGGTTTAAATAATATTTATTTATTTATTTATTTATTTCTATTCCACCCTATCTCCCAAAGGGACTCGGGGCAGATTCCAAACATAAAAGGCAAAGTATTGTCGAAGGCTTTCATTGCTGGAATCTCTGGGTTGTTGTAGGTTTTTTTGGGCTATATGGCCATGTTCTAATCCAGAGGCATTTTCTCCTGACGTTTCGCCTGCATCTATGGCAAGCATCCTCACAGGTTGTGAGGCAGGGCTCCACAGTTACCTACCTACCGCCAGGACTTCACAACCTCTGAGGATGCTTGCCGTAGATGCAGGCGAAACGTCAGGAGAGAACGCCTCTAGAACATGGCCATATAGCCCGAAAAAACCTACAACAACCCATAAAAGGCAAACATTCACTGCCGGAATACAACAACATGATGGCTTTGAGCCCATCTTTAAATCTCTACTAGACACTACTAACCCAAATCTGGCTTAAATAACAACAACAACAACAATAATACATTTATAGGTTCTTGTAGGTTTTTTCGGGCTATAGGGCCATGTTCTAGAGGCATTTCTCCTGACGTTTCGCCTGCATCTATGGCAAGCATCCTCAGAGGTAGTGAGGTCTGTTGGAAATAGGAAAATGGGTTTATATATCTGAATAGAAATAAATAAATAAAATACATTTATATTCCACCCTATCTCCCCAAAGCGACTCAAGACAGATTCCAAACACAAAAGGCAAACATTCAATGCGGAATACAACAACAATACATCCATGTATAAACAACATTTATACAACCCAACATATAAATACAAATTATACGAATTATAAGTTAACAAAATAAAATTAAATAAAAAGCACAGCCTGTTATAAAGACATAAAACAAAACATCAGCTGGTGGAGTGAGCTTGGCATGGTAACTATTAATCAGAGGTATAATGGTAGTATTACCTACTATTACTACTACTATTACTACTCCACAGGTAGGTCTTCAGCAATGGTTGTCCCAGCCCTTCCAAACAGCCCTATATCCCAGAATCTCAAGGCAGAAAATCCCACAATATCTGCTTTGAACTGGGTTATCTGAGTCCACACTCAGATAATGTCGGATTTTCTGCCTTAATATTCTGGGTTTCATGGCTGTGCGGAAGGACCCTCTGACCCCTTTGCAGCCCCAGACTTCCTTTTGCATCTGCCTTTCGATGAAAAAGTCTGTTGAAGTTTGTGGCTGAATTCGGGCCCCTTCTATACTGCCATATAATTCAGATTACCAACGCAGATAATCCACATTGAACTGGATTATATGAATCTATACTGCCATATCTAGTTCAAAGCAGATAATCTGGATGGCAGTGTCGAAAACCTTTAGTTCAGTAGAAACCAGTGCTTTACTGGATCAGAGGTGTATCTGTACTGTGGAATTAATGTGGTTTGATACCGTTTTAACTGCTCTAGTACCATGGGAAATGTAGATTGGTGAGATTGGACAGAGAAGCTTCTATGCCATTGAGCCGTGACTATTGAAGTGGGGTCAAACTGCATTAATTCTACAGTGTAGATGCGTCCTCGAGGACACTCAAACCCTAAGCAAAGCGGAACAAGGTTCGTCTGACCTTTGCTTGGGGACCCTGCCATTCCCGACCAATCCGAGGATGGAAAAGGTGCTCTTTCAGGGAACAAAAATTTAAAATGTCTATTTCTAAACATAGATCGAGAGCCTGTCAATTGAAAACACTCTTTGGTGAATGCCTTGTAGGATGTCCGTGGGGATTTAGCCATCCTAGAATTCACCACTTTTGAAAAATAATGCTGGCAAGAAAGACTCAGAGGTGGTTTTGCCAGTCCCTCCCTGGCCTTTGCCAGTCCCTCCCAGTCCCTCCCTAGCCTACAGCTCTCGGTATTCCTTGATGGTCTCCCATCCACGTATTAAACCAGAGCAGCAGAGCAGACCCTGCTTACTTTCCGGTACCTTGTAAAGCCGGCATGTAGCGGGGAGGGGGGCTTGGGGGGCTTCAGCCCCCCCCCCCCAAATTCTCATGGTGGTCTGCGAAAAGGCCTTACTGGTACATTATTTAAACTGTTATGTTTATTCATATCATGATCTGATCACCATGCTCAATATATCCCATATGCATGGGGGTATTGGGATAACGATACAAAAGGTTTGCTAGGGTAGATCCTCAGCCCCCCCCCCCCCCGAATCAAACTCAGCCCCCCCCCCCCAAATCAAAATCCTGGCTACGGGCCTATTGTAAAGTATTTAGTTACATGCCTTGAAGTCAAATCCGATTTAGGATGAGCCTATCATGGGGTTTCCTTGGCAATATTTGTTAGGAGGGAATTTTCCCTGTACTTCCTCTGAGACTGAGGGCCCTTCCACACAGCCATATAACCCAAAATATCAAGGCAGAAAATCCCACAAAACGTATCTGCTTTGAACTGGGTTATCTGAGTCCACACTGCCATATATATATATTCCAGTTCAAAGCAGATAATGTGGGGTTGGATTCAGCTGTGTGGAAAGGGCCTTAGAGAGAGTGGCTCGCTCAAGATCACTCAATGGATTTACAAGACTGAGGGAAGGTTTGAACCCTGGTTTCCTGGAAACCTAGACCACCTTCCCAACTCATTTGATCCTCCAACTACAAATTCTAGTATTTCGGAAGATACAGTCATGGCACTTAGGTTAGATCTACACTACCCTATATCCCAGATTATCTGCTTTGAACTGGATTATATGAGTCTCCATTTCTAGATAATATGGGACCAGCTCCTGGGGTATAAAGCAGCGTGGGAGGGGCTTTAAAGTGGGATCAAAGTGCTATGAAACCCCTATCCAAGCCCCACCATCTCCCCTCTGGACCCCAAACATGTAGAGGATCTCCCCACCTTGGAGAGCTGTAATGTCGCCTTTAAGAGACCAAAAAGAGCTTTTGTTTTCCTGGAGTACACTTTCTCTTCTCTTCTTTTAGGCCCCTTCCACACAGCTGAATAAAATGCCACATTTTCTGCTTTGAACTGGAATATATGGCAGTGTGAACCCAGTTCAAAGCAGTTATTGTAGGATTTTCTGCCTTGATATTCTGGGTTATATGGCTGCGTGGAAAGGCCCTTAACCCTCGGGAAGACGTTTGTTTGTTTGGGTCCCACTCTGGAAGAAAGGCGGCATACAAAGGCAGTCAATAAATAAAGGAACACACGATAAATATATGCAGAGGATCTTGGGTTTGTTTGGCCTTCTGAGGGACATCCTTCTTTTTGGAGGGAGGTTATCTCTGCTGTGGCGCAGAATTCAGAGGACGGGGTGAGCTCCTGTCCTTTGCCCCAGCTCCTGACAACCTAGCATTTCATTCAAGACTTGAATGAAATCTTATATTTTGATTTGGCACCCAAAATCACCAATTTGGGTGTCTTAGAGAAGCGTATTTCACAACTGGCGTATTACCAAAGATAAGATCCTCTTCCTTGTCTTCCCATAATGTCTTCTCCTGGTGCCCCAATGGTACAGCTGGGTAAACCACAGGGCTGCTGAACTTGCTGACCAAAAGGTCGGCGGATCAAATTCGATGAATGGGAGTGAGCTCCTGCTGTTAGCCCCAGCTTCTGCCGACCTAGCAGTTAGAAAACATACAAAAGTGAGTAGATCAATAGGTATCGCTTTAGCGGGAAGGTAAAGGTGCTCCATGCAGTCGTGCCGGTCACATGAACTTGGAGGCGTCTAGGGACAACACCGGCGCTTTGGCTTAGAACTGGAGATGAGCACCACCCCCACAGGGTCAGACACGACTGGACTTAATGTCTAGGGAAAACTTTTATCTTTTTATCTCTGGCAAATAGAAAAAAGGCAAAAGAGAAGGGAAAGGAACAAACACAGGTCTCCTTGTGGAAAGAAAAGGCGTGTTGTTAATAATAATAATAATAATAATAATAATAATAATAATAATAATAATAACAATAGGAGGAGGAAGAGGAAGAAGAAGAGGAAGACGAAGACGAAGACGACTCTGCCACAAGCCAGTCAAGGTGGTCCCAGTGGTGATCGGCACACTGGGTGCAGTGCCTAAAGACCTTGACCTGCACTTAAACACAATTAGCGCTGACAAGATTTCCATCTGCCAGCTGCAAAAGGCCACCTTACTGGGGTCTGCACGCATTATTCTCCGATACATCACACAGTCCTAGACACTTGGGAAGTGTCCGACGTGTGAT